GTGAAGGGGTTGCTTCTGCCCTTAACATTTTGGGAGGAGGGCAAATATTACACACTAGCACCAGTGCATCGTAAGGAAAGCAGTAATGGCTGCTTAAATTAAAGGAAGGGTGGAAAGGCACAAAGTGAGGATAACAGTGATGTTGTTCCCTGGCCAGCCTTATTAAATAGTGTGTGCTGTTTGATGTGCATCTCGCCGCAAGATCAAAGAGATTCTCAAAGCCAAAGGTAATTTGGATCATGTCACTGCTGACTTTCTGTCCTATTTACATGTGGGATAAAGGGCTCTAATTAGCTAATTCGTCAGTGGCAAGCTCTAAATAGGGCCACATTAGCACACGAAGAGTGAAAACAACCAAATTTAATATGTTCCTCAGACAATGCTGCTAGCTTCAAAGAGAATCTTAAATCAAAATTGATTGGACAGGAATTGAGCATTTAAATTTATTATCAATCCTAAATATATCTCTTTAAAGAGTTATGCATTTACTGCCTTGCCCACCTACCCACCTGCCCTCTGAATTGGGTCCTGCAATGTTTACTAACAGGGGAACATATGGTCTTTGTATTTGAGGAGAAATCTAAATCTTGATTTTTGGCAAACACTCTTCACCACTTGTAGATTGTGACCCTGAGGTTATGCGAGGAAATACTAGCCATAGCCAATTAATCATAAGTTGTTAATTACTTGCATCTCCAGGACTGGGGGTGGGTGGGGGCTGACTCACTGACTATACTACACATTTGTCAGAAATACAGGAATATTCCAAGCCATTTTCATTACCTGAGGAGGACAGAAGAGGCTGAGAGATTGTGACACTCAAAACCACTACATCACACTGGCTCCATCTTATATTGTGGCTCGCTTTTCCATCTCATGTAATCCTATGCCTCTGCATCTAATATTGTATACCATTTTACACTTGGTTAACTAGTAAGAAGCAATGGATTTGATGTGGTTTAAATTCTACGTAAATAGATTTAAGGTACCTAGCTATTCATTAAATCTTCATAGTAAAGACACCTTAGCTTAAGTTGAAAGGATTTTAAACATTAAGCTGATTGGAAGTTTTTTTTTCTCAGCCTTGGTTACATGTTGCCTAAACAATCCAGAAATATCTGATGGCACATTTCAAATTTAGAGTCCACTTATGAACATCATCAAACTGGAAGTGTGCATATTTGATGAAGAAAACTCTGGCCCATAGTGCTTACGTCATAAGGTGGGAGAGAGTTTATGATGGAGTCTTCCAGATATTTTGGGCATACAACTCCCATCAGCTTTGGCTAGCAAAGCTCATGGAAAGGAACTATGAGAGATATAATAAAAAATATTGGGGGGCAGGCACTGTTGTCTGATGCCCACCCTTGCCATAATATATATTGTAATGAAAATTTGTAAAATCATAACAGTTGGAAGAGACCTCAGTGGTCAACTCCCTTCTTCCATGGAGGAACATACAATCCAGGCATGCCGAAAATGGCCATCTTGCTTTAAAGCCTCCAGAGAAGGAGACTCCACTGCACCCCCAGGCAGCAGCATATTCCATTGCCTCATTTTCCCTCCAGCTTCTATCATATTCTCAGTAGAACTCAGTGGGAACGTGCCAGATGATGCCATTTTTCCTACTACACATAAAAACTTCTAAAGCTTGGGCCCTGACAGTCCACATATTACAGACATTCGAGTTACCTATGACTTATAGTTAAGAACACGTGGGACAAAAGGCTGCCGATTTGCTACCGGGCTCAATTCAAAGTGCTGGCGTTGGCCTATAAAGCCCTAAACGGTTCTGGCCCAAGTTACCTATCCGAACGTATCTCTGCCTATCAGCCCGCCAGGACCCTAAGATCTTCTGGGGAGGCCCTGCTCTCTATCCTGCCTGCTTCACAGGTGCGGCTGGCGGGGACGAGAGACAGGGCCTTTTCTGTGGTGGCCCCCCGGCTGTGGGAGGTAAGATCAGCCCCCTCGCTGATGGTGTTCCGAAGAAGATTAAAAACTTGGATGTTTGAACGGGCATTCGGTTAAACAGTGCAATCAATGTGATGATTACAGGAATTGGAAAATTGGATGACGAATTGGATCATGATTCTAGTTATGAGATGCATTGTGTTATCTATTGTTGTGTTAATATTGTATATTATGCTTTTGTGGTTTTATATTGTATATCGTTGTTGATTTTTATTCTTGTTGTAAACCGCGTTGAGTCGCCTGTTAGGCTGAGAAACTGCGGCATACAAGTAAAGTAATAAATAAATAATAAATAATAAATAAGTGAGAGCAATCTACCCCTTGGAAGGGAAATTCACTTCTGAAAGAGTTATCATGGGGAAAAGGGGGCTCACCAATCCTTGCTTTCATAATAAGCCAACAATTTCAAAACCCAATTATCACAGGTACAGAAAGTGATGGGAAATCTTCTGAACAGGAGCACAGACAGCAAAACAAACACCACAGGGGGTTTAACCCTTCCCTATGTTATCCAAAGCATAAAAATATACACTTTTGGCTTGAGTTACACTTAGATAATGCACCTGTTCCGACTTACTTACAAATTAAACTTGAGAACAAACCTACAGAACATATATTGTCTGTAACTTGGGGGCTGCCTGTATGGCACAGATGAGGAATCTTTGGCCCCTCAGATATTTTGGGCTTTGTTTCTCATACTTTCCATGCATGACTCAGCATGATGGAGATTGCAAGTGGGGCAGTTGTAGTCCAGAACTCTCTGCCATTGCATTACAGTGATGTTTGTAAGCCTTGAGACGCCACAAGAATCTCCATTTACTCCTGACTTATTAGAAGGCCCACTGCTATCAATGGAACTTATGCCCGAGTTAAACTACTGAGATATGAAGAGAGAAAGTAGCAGTATACTCAGCATATTTCTCCCAATATTAGGATACACTGCCTGTTCAACCTTGGTTTTGTTGTAAATACGATGTTTCAAAATGATGGACCCAATTTCAGAGCAATATATTCCACGGTGGCAACATGTTACAAGTGCACAAAGTTTTATGAGTTTCACAGTTTTGGCTAACCATTTGAGCCAGAAACAAATTGTCAAAAATAACTCCACAAGTGGAGAATATCTCATTATTGCAGGGTTACTATCTTGCCAATGTCTGAGTCCAGGGGCTAGTTGTGCCCTGGAATAGGCATCTAGCAGCAATCTTTTTAGACCCTGTGCCTCACCCTTTTGAGAAAGGTTTCAAATCGGGTCCATCTTTTTAAAACACCCTGCAAAGCTATGTTTGGCAGGGCTTATTAGCATGCACATCTGAGACTAATTCCCTATTAATATCAATAATAATACTAATAATACTAATAATATTAATAATAATAATAATAATAATAATCAGCATATCAGTATGCCACATCCTTTATCGGTCTCAGCCTTAAATGAATATTTCTATAATATATGGAGATTTTAAAATGCACCAATCTGTACTATTGTTAGAATTTGTGAATACGGTGAGGTGCACTGATGCCTACTTGCTTTTCACAGTGCATTCTGTATTCTTGGCTGACAAGTCACTTAGGATGCATCTCATGTTGTCCTCATGATGCACTTTTCCCCATCCTTAATGAAGGCCTAATCCCACTGTTTGTAATTTTTGGGCTCCTCCCTCACAAATACACTTTTTCTACTCCTATCTCATCCAGGGTTTTGTCATTTTATCTTGTGCATTTGACCTGTCCGTTATGTTATTTTGCATTGTTTATCTTATTATTCTATTTATTTTATTGTGATGTAATTTTTTGTTGTTTTGTATTTTATTTTGCTGTATTGTATCTTTGGGCTTGGCCTCATGTTAGCTGCCCTGAGTTCCCTTTGGGGAGATGGTGGCGGGGTATAGATAAAGATTATTATTATTATTATTATTATTATTATTATTACACTGCAGAATGAATGCAGTTTGACCCCACTTTAACTGCCACGGCTTAAGGCTTATGGAATCATGGGAGTTGTAGTTTGGTGAGGCACCAGCCCTCTTTTTAGCAGGGAAGGTGCAAGACAGGCATGGGCAAACTCTTTGTACTTCGTATTGTTGAAGGCTTTCATGGCCAGAATCACTGGGTTGTTGTAGGTTTTTTCAGGCTATATGGCCATGTTCGAGAGACATTCTCTCCTGACGTTTCGCCTGCATCTATGGCAGGCATCCTCAGAGGTAGTGAGGTCTGTTAGAACTAGGAAAATGGGTTTATATATCTGTGGAAAGACCAGGGTGGGACAAAGGGCTCTTGTCTGCTGGAGCTAGGTGTGAATGTTTCAACTCTCCACCTTGATTAGCATTTGATAGCCTGGCAGTGCCTGGAGCAATCTTTTGTTGAGAGGTGATTAGATGTCCCAGATTGTTTTCCCTCTGCTGTTTTAATTTTAGAGTTTTTTGGCTACCAGTATTAAAAAACATGGCCATATAGCCCGAAAAAACCTACAACAACTCTTTGGACTTCAACTCTCAAATTCCTGAAAGTGAAAAGGAAAGGGCCTGAGGCGGTTAGGAATGGTGGGAGCTGAAGTTCAAAACACCCAGAGGGCCCAGGTTTGCCTGAACTAACTTCACTGTTAGTCCTTATAAGAACACTCCATGAAGAGTTACAAACTCCCTTGCCCCCAAAAGCATTATGGAGGGCAGCCTTACCAGTTGTCCCTGGCTACTGGTGTGCTTAAGCGGCTGAGGGGAAAAAAGAAGAGGCCTGAGGCTGTTAGGAATTGTGGGAGTTGAAGTCCAAAACACCTGGAGGGCCCGAGTTTGCCCATGGCTGGTGTAAAACTAGAGCTCCTCTCGGGAAAAGGCGGAAAGGTACTCAGCCTTGAAGCCTAGTTGGATGCTTTCGGCGCTCGGCTGCTCCTGCCTGCCGCTGGAAGAGGCCGGGTGCGCCTGGAGAGGCCAATCGATGTGCTCGGCGCTCGGCCCGCGCCTGCCATTCAGGACTCCTTCCCCCTCCTCCATCGACTGGCTCGGCGCTCCTCCCGGAGTCCCTGGGCGCCTGTTCGAGGCGCTGGGCGCTCGCGCTCCTCCTGCTGCTCGCCTGGCCCCTTTGACGGAAGGATGCCCCGGGCGCGCGCTGTGTCCACTCGAGCCTCTCGGCGCTCGCCTCCCCGCGCCTGTCTCCTGGCAGAGGGACCGGAAGTGGCTCGGGGAGGGAAGGGGAGGGGGGCTCGCTCCCTCCTCCTCAGGTGAAGGCGCTGTGGATGGAGCCGCCGAAGACGCCGCCGCCGCCGCCGCCGCTGCTTCGGAGCCATTGAGCCCCCTCCAGTGGGTGGGCCGGGCGGGCGGCCGGGGGGCCCTCCCCAACGCGGCCTGGCGCCCCCTCGGCTCAGGTGAGGGCCGCCCTACGGGGGCTCGGAGGGGACCAAAAGCGCTCGCCCGCCGGACGCGCGGAGGGACCACAAGGTGCGCTTCTCGAGGGGCTCCGAGGGGGAGGGGGCGCGAGGCGAGCGGGGCGCGGGCGCTATTGTGAGGGCGGTGGTCACTCAGGCACCGCGCGGAGGAGAAACTTGGGCCGTGCCTCTGCCTCGCTTTGGGCAGGGAGAGCCGCTGAGTGAGAGAGGGGCCTGGAGAAGTTGCCTGAGTTGAGCCAGGGGCTGTCTCAGGAGCCCTTCAGGTGGGACTGGGTGGCCCTCGCCTTCTCTTCCCACCCTGCTCATCCTTCACACAGACACACTTGGGGTTTTTGTCTCACCTGCGCGAGGGATCCCCACCCTCTCCTTCAAGTTTTGCAGACTTGGCGCCAGGAGAACCTCTTTCCTCCCCGTTCTCATTTGTGTTCCAAGCTGTCGTTTCTTCTTCTTGTGGCTCCTTCATGGCTTGCCTCCGCCTCCTCCTCGGTTTTTTTTTTAATCTTCAGGAACATCTCTGCCTCCAAGGGAAGGAATTTAGGAACCTCACATAATACTCAGTGTAAGCACATTCTCCAAAGTGCCTCTTATGCATGGATAGTCAAGGGCAAAGGCAAGGCTGGTAGATTTGGGCAGCATTTGTCTGTCCTTGCAGGTAGCTTTCCAGAACTGGGGCTAACAGATCCTATCTTTTATTATTATTATTATTATTATAACATTTACATGTACATAACAACACAGCACACATGCACATTAGGTCCAAGTGTCTTGGTTTCGTCTCTGAATACCAGGCTCTTCCCAAGGACCTAGGAGATTAGAGATATTTTTGTATTGTTATATTATTATTATTATTATTATTATTATTATCATATTTACATGTGCATAACAACACAGCACACATGCACATTAGGTCCAAGTGTCTTGGATTGGTCTCTGAATACCAGGCTCTTCCCAAGAACCTAGGAAATTAGAAGTATTTTTGTATTATTATTATATTATTATTATTATTATTATTATTATTATTATTATATTTACATGGATATGACAACACAGCACACATGTGCATTAGGTCCAAGTGTATGGAATTCGTCTCTGAATATCGGACTCTTCCCAATGATCTAGGATATTAGAGGTATTTGTGTATTATTATTATTATTATATTTACATGTACATGACAACACAGCACACATGCACATTAGGTCCAAGTGTCTGGGATTAGTTTCAGAATATTGGACTCTTCCCTAGGATCTAGGATATTAGAGGTATTTTTGTATTATTATAATAATAATATCATTGTCAACTATAATACTCAAGTTTTTTCTCTTAAAGGAAACTCAAAGTGGCCTCCAATGATAAAAACAATGCAATTTGAAACCTACGACATATCAATATTAAAATTAGACATAGAAATATTAAAAACAAATACAGTTAACTGGAACTCAAGCAACCAGAACTCCTAAGCTACTGGCAACAAAAAATATTGAGGAAACAATACTTTTAAAAACACTGTTTTATAATACAGTAAAAAAAAAACCCAAAACTATGTTACATTAAGTTTGTTTCTGTTTCTCTGATTTGCTTTTAATTATTGTATTTCAATCAAGGCAATACAGAATGTATGGTATGATATAGTGTAGAGCAGAGGGCCAGGTCACAGTCCTTCTACTGTTGGAGGGCCAGATTATAATTTGAAAAAAAACATGAATTCCTATGCACGCTGCATATATCTTATTTGTAGTGCAAAAATACACTTTAAAACAATACAATAATTAAAATGAAGAACAATTTCAACAAGTACAAAACTTATTAGTATTTCCATGAGAAGTGTGGGTCCGCTTTTGGCATATGACATAGAATTGTTGTTGCTGTTGTGTGCTTTCAAGTTGTTTTAGACTTAGGTTGACCCTGAGTGAGGACCAGGTAAATGACCTTGGAGGGCCATATCTGGGCCCCGGGCCTTAGTTTGAGGACCCCTGGTGTAGAGTATAGCATTAGTTAAAGCTATTTTTAATATCAACTCGTAATCAACCAGAGACTATATTTATCTGACGTGTACTGTCATGCACCCCATGGGTGCAGTTTAACGAGATTCTACATTGTTATTATTATTATTATTATTATTATTATTATTATTTATACCCCATTTTTCTCCCATAAAGGAGTCTCAAAGCAGTTTGCAACATTCAAAATAACACAACTAAAAAGCTACGACTTATAATTAAATACAGAATTGTTAAAATACATAATTAAAATCACTTAAAGCCATTAAAAACTTTTAAAATGATTAAAACGTTACACAGCACCACTTGGCTAATTCTTACAAACTTCCTTCATTAAAAGCCTGTGAGAGTGAAAAGGTTTTAGCTTGCTACTGGAAAGACAACAGGGTGGGGGGGGGGGGCATTCTAAGTCTTATCTGCAGTATTTAGCTATTTGTGGTTATGTTTGAAAGAAGAAAATGTTCCATCATGCCAGTAAACCTTCTTACCAGTTCCAGTTACTCCAAACTTCATTTTCAGATAACATCTTTTCTAAATCACACACACACGTATATGTATTAAATCTAAACAGTGACACTAGTTTGTATGTTGCTTTTAAAATTACTGTTGGAATGAGAGAAATAACAGGAGTATAAGTATTTCCAGAACTTTAAAAAAAGCAAATAAAGAAAAAAAACCCAAATTTGTTGCTTTGAAAAATGTGGAAACTTTATAGGAACATTCGTTTTAATGGTTTTCCTTCTGTTTTATTGTTTGTTTGTTTGTTTTGTATGCTAGCACATACAAAGATACAGCCAGTGTGATGTAGTAGTTTGAGCATTGGACTATGATCAGGAGGTTAAGACTGAAATCCCTGCTCAATTATGGAAAACCCACTAGGTGGCTTTGAGCAAGTCACTTTCTCTCAGCCTCAAAGGAAGATGAAAACCCAGTGACAAAAAATGGAAATGACTTGAAAGCATATAACAAATACATCGGAATTTTTTTTTGGGGGGGGGGGGATTTTTCCCTCTTTACTTCAGTCACTTCCTGTGATGTTTAGAGAAATAAGCCACACTGGGTATTTTGCTCTGGAGCCAATAGCTGAATATTTTGCATAGAAATCAACATTATAGCACCCAGACTCAAATTCCAATTCGACTGTCTGAAGCTTGGTGGCTTTGGCAGTATAAATGAATAGAGAAGGCATTTGGTTTGAAGCAATAGGAAGAGACAGAGTTGTCTTGTATTACAGTATTCTGTATGACACAGTTTAGTGAGGTTTTATGTTTTCTTTTGTTGTGTGATCTTCAGTAATATTTGAGAAATGGCTGTTCTGATTTTTCTGCTACACATCTTCAACTTTGTGTGGCAAGCAATGCAATTTTTATCATGAATAATTTTTATGAAATACTATTGGTTGCAAGGAGTGTAAGTTCTAGTTATTGGATTTTTGCAGGTACAGTACTGGATCCAGGTTAATGTTTAGTGCAATGAATGTAATAGTATGTGCTCACAAGAACTGTATTTGTGGGGGCTAAATGTACTCTCTAGGTTCATTGAAGCTCATCAGATAAAAGCAGGACTCCATTCATTCTCTAGCAAATGTTTAATGCTACTAAACGTGTATCAGGTGAGTGAATCTTCAGGGAGTTTCAGGTTTCTTAGGCTGGGTGCATTAAAGTCATATGAGCTGGCACTGGCTTCGTAGATAGACTTTTCATGCCTAAACTGACTGTTAGGCTTTATCTGCTACCTTATTCAAATAATATAAAGTTTAGAAGTTGCTATGAATATGTGTATTAGAAGCCCAGCTATTTATTAATCCATGAACATTTCTATGGTCCCATCTATACTGCCATATAAAACCCAGATTATGTGCTTTGAACTAGATTATATTGCAGTGGAGACTCATATAATCCAGTTTAAAGCAGGTAATGTGGATTATTTGCTTTGATAATTTGGATTATATGGCAGTGTGGAAAGGGCCTTTGTCTCAAAGAGATTAAAATTTCTTTTTCCAATTAAAAATGGCACTGTTTAAAGTTCATTCTTAATCATGACAGTGTATTAAGTAAATTCATCTACATTTGATTGTGAAATGTAATAATAATAAATAGAGTAAAACAAAAAATGTGATAAAAATAATAAACCAGTAAAATAATAAATAACTTTGATTTGAATATAAGCTGAGGGAGGCTTTTTCAGCCTAAAAAGGGGGCTGAAAAACTTGGCTTATACTCGAGTATATATGGTACATACTTTTCTGTTTAATATACAGTTGGCACTCCATATTTACATTTTGTGGGTTTGATTCACATGATCTCGCTAGAAATCTCTAGGCCTCAAGTGGAAGCTGACCTAGTGATTCCCGGCAAGGTGTTCTCTCAGATAAACCAATGACTTTTTATTTACAGTTTCCTCACTTTTGTAGGGGTCCAGCATCCTTAACCCCAATGAATGTTGAGGGAAGACTATAACTTTCAGTTGCTGGGTTAAGAGTGTATTGTGTCACACTAGTTTATGATGTAAGAACTTTCACATGCTATAACAATGCTACTGTATTGCTTTACAATGACTTTGAAGAATGGATTGATATTAGAAACTGGAATGGTCAGCTGTCAATATCCCAAACAAGGCTTCAGAAGTGTTAGGGTTGGTCATTGCCTGCTAAAGTTTTGTTTGGTTTTAACAGAGTAGTTAAAGAGTGAAGTGATCTCTTTTTCTGTTTGAATCAGCCTCCTCTAATGAAATTCCACATACTGAAAGCTGTTTCTGACAACTTTTAAGTTCATTTGAATGTTTGCCTTCAAGTTGGCTGGCAATTTATGGAGACCCCATGAATTTAATTGTTTTCTTAGGCAAGGAATTTTCAGAAGTGCTTTACCATTTCCTTTTTGGAAATATGGTCTACAACAACACATGATATTTATTGATAATCTTCCACCCAAATATTAATCGGGAGACCCTGTTTCCAAAAGCAGAGGGATTTAGGCAAAGAAAGAGAAGGTGATGGGATGGGGGAGGAGGAGGCAGAAAGACAAAGAATCATCATAGTCAGAAGTTATTTCCATCT